TTTTAATATATATATATATATATATATATATATAGTTTTAATTTTATTTATTATTTTTATTTTATGTGTATGCATGTATTGCCTGCACCCATGTTGTGCAATGCCCTCGGAGGTCAGAAGGGGCTGTCAGATCTCCTGGGACTGGAGTTATGGACAGTTGTTAGCTGCATGTGAGTGCTGGGGTTTGAACCTGGATCTTCTGCAAGAACAACCAGTGTTCTTAACCACTGAGCCATCTCTCTAGCCCCTTTTTTATATTTTATTTATTATTTTTATTTTATGTGGAGTATATTCCCTGCATGTATGAGTGCACCCATGTTGTGCAATGCCAAGAGGGCTTTGGATTCCCCTGGAACTGGAGTTAAGGACGTTTCATAACTGCCATGTGGGTGCAGGGAATCAAACCTGGGTCCTCTGCAAGAGCAGTCAGTGCTCTTAACTGCTGAGCCATCTCTCCAGCCCCCCGCCCCCCAAAGCCACTCTTGAGGAGAGCTGATCTGCACCCCTAAAGTGTCACCAGTCATGGCGTTTCACAAAAGCTGCCCCTGCTTGCAGCCCAACACAGGGCAATGTGATGTCTAGCATCTGTTTCATACACAAGTAACCAGAAGCCCAAAGTCACAGGTAAAATTAGTAACACAGGCCCAGGCCATGATTCCAGGCTGCAGGATGATGTCCTGTCAATACTGGGGTATCATCACCAACAACAAAAGTTGACTGTCACTGACACCCTGATTGCTTGGAAAAGGACCTGTGCTCCCATATGGGCTCTGCTGTCACCCACAGCTGAGCAAGGCTTGGGCAAGTTACATGCCCTCTCTGATCCTCAGTCTCCTCTGCACAGTGGGGATAAGGATGGTACCACCAATGGATCAGGCTCCGCAGAGCCTGGAGCACAGGGCTGGATCTGCTATCTGCCTTTAGCCATCTCAGCATCGGCCATGCACCTTGGGTTGCATGTGATAGATACTCTGCTCAGCCACCGATGAAGAGCATCATCCTGGACAGATCATGTCTTCATTCTGAACCTCGGTGTCACCATCTACAAAAGGGGACAATCCCAAACCTCACCTACCTCCTCAGGATTACCAGGAGAATTAAAAAACCTGCTTAGCCACCCGAAAAGAGAAAGAGGCAGGTAGGTGGTCATGTGCGTGGCTTCTTTTGACTGTGAGCACTTTCTTCCTCCAATGTGCAGAATGGGCTCACGTGGGTTCATGGGCACCTGTCTGTTCTAGTCAGGCAGCAGGGCCACTCCTTAGGCTTTGGCTGGCCCAGACAGGACAGGGAGACTTCCTAGCATCAGGGCAGCCCCAGGACTCAAATTGCCTGAGCCTCTAGCTGTGAGCTGCTGGAGGACAATCAGGGGTGGGCACTTTCCCAGAGTGTGGGGCCTTCAGCAGACTGCACTGGCATCCTATCTGCTCCCTGTCCCAGGGAGAGGCTTGTAAGATCTGGAGCACTTTTAAGGATATTTGGGGAGAGGAAATTTAAAAATATATCCCAGGGGCACAGGAGGATTGGGTTGTTAAAGAGTGTGGTAGGGAAGAGGTGTGGGGGTGCGGCTAAGAAGGTAACAGAGTCTCACTGGGCCACGTGACCCAGGTCAGTTATTGGTGCTACAGGCTTCAGAAACAGGGCCTTAACTACCTGTCCCTGCACCCTTTATAACAGACTCCACTTCCTGTTCCCCTCATATAGGAGAGGAAGGTGGAGAAATCACTCCCTAAGCTCACTCTGGGCCTCAAGTGGCCTCATTTCACAGCCTGAATATCTATTTCTCACACCATGCTTTACACATGGATTTACATGTGGGGTGTTTCCCTCCTGAACCCTAGGAAAGGCTAAAGTCATGGGATCAAGAAGTATCATCAAGCTGGGCCTGGTGGCATGTACCTGCATGCTAAGTACTCAAGAGGGAAATGCAAGAGGATAGTGAGTTCAAGGTCAGACTGGGCTATATAACAAGACCCTGTCTTAGGGCTGTCAAGATGGTTCAATGGGTAAACCTCAGTGGGTAAAGGCACTTGCTGTTCTATTCCCGGGACTTACCAGGTAGAAGGCAAGAATCTACTGCCACAAGCTGTCCTCTGACCTCCACACGTAAACCAAGGTACACACACACACACACACACACACACACACACACACAAAATAAATAACAAATGTAAATAAAAATTTTAAAAAGACAGTCTCAAAAGCAAACAAAAAAGATATCATGTTGGTATACTGCCTGGTTTCTTAAGTGCTGTGGCTCATTTTTTAAACCTGAACTCTCTACATAATTCAAATACAAAGAAATCAGTAACAGAATTCTAGACTTTGGGGCCTTTCTGGGAAAAGCTTCTAGGGAGAAATGAGTGTTCTGTCCAAATAAAGAAAAAAAAATTTTTTTTTCTTTTTGACACAGGGTTTGGCTATGTAGTCAGGCTGGCCTGTAACTCACTATATAGACCAGGCTGTCCTGGAACTCACTATGTAGACCAGGCTGTCCTGAAACTCACTATGCAGAACTCAGTCTCCCAAAGTACTGAGATTACAGGTATAAGCCATCACACATGTCTCAAAAAGCAATATTTTTTAAAGATTTATTCTATTTTCTAAATTAGAAAAAATTTTTGACTGATTGATTTGTGTATATGAATGTCTTGCCTACATGTAAGTGCATCCTTGTTGTGTCATGCTCAAGGAGATCAGAAGAGGGCATTGGAATTCCTGGAACTGGACTTAAGGATGGTTGTTAGCTGCCATGTGGGTGCTGGAAACTGAACCCAGGTCCTCTGCAACAGTAGCTAGTGCTCTTAACTGCTGATTCATCTCTCCAGCCCTGATTATTTTATTAATTCTTGCTGTGTGTGTCTGTGCACATGAGTGCAGGTGCTTGTGGAAGTCAAAGGTATCAGATTCCCCTAGAGCTGAAGTTATAGGCAGTTGTTTGCCACTTGATATAGGTGCTGGGAACCAAAGTTAGGTCTTCTGCAAGAGCAATGCATACTCTTAACCACTGAGCCATCTCTCCAGTAATCACCCGCCTGGCCAGGTATTATTTTTATATCATTTTGAAGATGAGAATCTAATGACCAGAGAGGAAGAGTGGTTTGCCTGAAGTCACACAACTTGGAGGCACATGACATTCAATCCCAGTCAGAGCTATAAGAGGTAGAGCTGAGCAGACTGTGGGTGAAGTTATTCAACTGGCTTCTCTTACAGTTGCAGAAACTGAGTGTGATTGTTCACATTTGTAATCTCAGCACTCCAGCAACTGAGTCAAGAGGATTGCAGCAAGTTTGAAGCTAGCCTGGGTAAAGTCTTGCTCACCTCCAAAAGAAAAAAAAAAAGACACCCCCCCCCCCCCCGCCCCATAAAAAACCAGCAGCCTGGAGACGAGGCCCTATGAGTCAGCAGTACCCACTTCTCACATGCCAGAGCATCTGGGTCTGTAGAGAACTGCCCCCTCACCTCAATTGATACAGCCAGATAAGCAGAAAATAAGCAGCTCTGTGCTGGGCCCAAATCCCAAGCCACTGGTGCTCAGCTTTAGAGGCCTCTGATATTGGAACAACTTTAGGGAGGAAAACACAGCTGGGAGAAGTCTGTGGAATTATCTCCCTGTGGGGAAAGGCTCAGGCACTCACATCTCAGGACCCAACCACAGTGCCCAGGACACTGTAGATGCTCAATCAATACCTGGTAAGCTCATCTGAACTCTGTGTGTGGGGTGTGTGTGTGTGTGTGTGTGTGTGTGTGTGTTATATTAACCTATGTGTGTGCTGCATTTGTGTGTGCATTAGGGCATGCAGTAGGGTGCAGAGGACAACATTGGATGTTGGGCTTCATCTTCAACCTTGTTTGAGACAAGGTCTTGTTTTTGTTGTTTGCTGCTGTGCTACCTACAGCAGCCTAGCTGGCCTTGAGTTTTTGGAGAGTCCCCTGTCTCCCATACTACTGTGCCTGGCTTTTTTTGCTTGGGTTTTGGGGATTCAAACTCAGGTCCTCATGCTTGTGTGGCAAGTGCTTTACCCACTGAGCCCTCCTCAACCCGTAACTGAACTTTTTAAAAAAATTACACTTACTTAGCTAGGCTTGGTGGTGCACGCCTTTAGTCCTAGCATTTAAAAGGCAAAGGCAGGCAGACCTCTGTGAGATTGAGGTCAGCCTGGTTTACATAGTGAGTTCCAGGCCAGCTGGGGTTACACAGACACCCTGTCTCAAAAAAACAATAATAACAAGTTACATTTACTTATTTATGTGTGTGTGTCTACATATATATGTGGGTGTGCACATACCACAGTGTG